AATCTCTCAATTGGCTAATGTGGGCTTTCACTCCTCTCTCAGCATGTGTCCTTTTACCTGTATTTAGGTTTGTCTACACTAACTTATTACCCATGGCTGTGCTTGGCACCATCCTGATGGGATGAAGTGCAGACTGTAATTAAAATATTCATTTGTAGTTATTGCATCCTTTACTTGATACACCACTAAACCGTATACAAATTATAGTATGTGTTATATATAAAAGGTGTTAAAAGCTTTGCCAATGAGATGAAGCTACGTCCTTCAAAGGTATCTTAAATGGTTCTAAATGGGGCTAACACTCAATAATTACTTTTACAGGGGGGAATCCCTGGATGGCTCAGTGGTTTAGTGCCTGCCTTTGGCCCAGGGCGTGGTCTTGGAGTCCTGGGATGGAGTCCCATGTCGGGCTCCCTGCATGGAGCCTGCTTCTCCCTCTGCCTATGTCTCTGCCTCTCTCTCTCGGTGTCTCTCATGAATAAATAAATAAAATCTTTTTAAAAAATTACTTTTACATTCACATTATTAAATTTTCACAGTTTTGGATACTCAGACAACTGGTACTGGTTACGCCCACACTATGCTAATTATAGAGGAACACTTGAAATCTACTTCATGCTAAATCTTGGTTCTTGAACTCTAATCTCTAACACAAACAAACTGTGACTGATTGACAAACTAATTTTTGATGCAAGTCCAGGTGCAGTAGTAAAACTGAAAAAAACAAACGAAAAAATAATCTAGATCCAAAAGTTCTAACCTATAAGATTATCTATCTTAGAAGGAGAATTTGTTTAGAACCAAGAACAAAACCACTTATACCTGAGGATGTTGAGGAGTCATGATGAAATCTGTACCAGTTTATTAAAAACAGAAGCAAACCAGACTGTGTTTGTATTTCTTAAAACTTTACAAGTACAAAGCTAAAATGTTATTCTCTTTCCCTAAGGACTGCAAAGTACCTTAATTAATTCTTGAGATTCTAACAGCCCTAAAAACAAGTCATAAAAATGAGATTTACATGGGAATATAAACTGGAGTGACATTTTGGGAGGGCCACTTGAAAATATTTAGCAGAAACCTAATATGCATACCCACTGACTAAGAAATTCCAGTTTTGGAATTGATCTGGAAAAAAATGGCAATGATGAAGACACATGGATGTTCATTACAGTGTTGTATATAATTATAAAAACTGGAAAGAGCCTAAATATCCAACACAGGGGTGATCAAGTAAACTATGGTTTATCATATAATTAAATACTATGTGGCCATAATACAAACATAGAAAAATTAGTCATAAAGTTATGTATGGCAAGGAAAAGTACTTACGTATACTGTGAAGGGGAAAAAAGCAAGTATATGATCTCATTTCTGTGTAAAATATGTATAGGCATAAAAATATCTGGAAGGGTATAAATTAATAGTATTTATTGTTGAGTTTGGGATTACAGGTGATGTTTATTTACTTTCTTTGAGGGGTCTGTATTCTGGTTCTGCTATAGTGAACATCTTTCCTTTATGTAATAAAAATACTTACTTGAGGCAACCATGCAATTGTTAGTGTTTCTCTAATTCTTATGATACTGGATACTGTATGTACTATGGAAAGTGGTAGAGGGGAGAGAGATGAGAAGAGAAGGAGGGAGCAAGGCAGACATATTTTATATTGTTGATTATTTTATCATGTATATTTGTTGTAAAGTATTAGGTTAATCTTAGATTTAACAATCTGGAAAAGATTTCAATGGAACATAGATCACAGGATCACACTCCATTCTCATAGATTTAAATTTTCTTCTCTCCTTGGAGATCTGATTTTGTTCTGTAGGAGCAGGTGGCTTTCTTTTTTATGTCTTTCTACTATCTTGTCAGACACAGCTCTCTCAAAACTTTTTTGGGAGCTAACCAAGGTTTATCTAACCAAACCCCAAATGGCATATGGACTTCATCCACATGGTCATATGAATCTGTTGGCCGATGACTCCTGCCCTGTATCTAATTGATTTTATGAAGTCCATGCTTGAAGAAAGATTCTAAAGCTATAAGAGTGTGATGCTGTGGGATGAAGGAATGTAGTGGCAAAGAGGCTACTTTAGTTGCTACGCTGGAATCTGGGAGCCATCACTGCCACCAAATATTGGCAGCATATATCCCAACAAAGGAAGAATCCTAATAATTTGGAGTGAAAAATTTCTATCATGCATTTCAGCTTAGATCTACGAATAACACTTCTTTAAATGTCTTGTTAGACAGTGAAATCTGGGAATAATTATCAAACACCATATACAGTGTTTACAATAGAATCATATTTCTTTTCTTTCTTTCCCCCCCACTTTTTTTTTTTTTTTTGCATAAAAAGGAGAATGCTGCTGAATGGTACCCAAATGTCTGTTGTATACCATGCCAATACGGCAGCTCAGCCAAAAATGCGAATAGAATAGTTTGCCAAGTAAAAGAAAACATAACAAATTGGTAATGGTTTCTATCTTGACAGAAAATGAAAATGATCCCTCAATGTGTGGTCACTCATGCGGACACATAAAAATGTCTGAGAAGCAATCATTTTACCTCAGATAACAGACCCTGACAGTGTAGTACAGCACTGGCTGACTTTCACTTCTTAGAAAAGCGGTAACCGTGACCTACAAAATAGTCTGGTAACCATGTAATTTATGCATAACACACATGCACATGCCATGCACTCATAATATTTGCCATAAATCATTTTGAATACAAGACTTCTTTTCTGAGTGGAATATACTTTATGAGAGATGATCTAAATCACCAGAGACCTGATACAGTTGAATGGGTGTATTGATGAACAGAAAGGATGTTGCTGCTTATCAGGTTACAAAATTTCAAAGTCTATATTGCAATAAAAAAGGTCCCATGTATTCTGTATGATTCTGTGTCGTGCCTTGAACACTAAAGGTATTTTATTAGAATTCGGATAAGACAAATACAAAAAATGTGTAGGTACATAGTTTACAGTTCTCACTTTCTGTTTAAGAGACTGCAATAGAGGGTAGAAATGAACCCCCTGAAGACTCGGTAATGTGTCCTTACCTTATTTACCCTTCCTTTACCACTTATTTTTGTTCCCCAGATGGAGAAGTGGTCAACATCACTGACCATTGATTTTACCATCTGGTAAAGTTTTTCCATTTGTTTACTTTCTAATGAGGATGTTAGAACATAGATTGTACTGTGAAATCACAACAAAAGCAAGAATGACAATTTTAAAAACACTAATTGACATCTGAAGCTAATGAGGAATTCACAATGAGAGAATACTGAACCAAGTGGCTAGGAAGAACCTTGGGAAGTTAAATGGCCTTGCCAAGTTAAAAGTAAATTTGAATCCTGCGGGTTATGAGTTTCAAATGAAACTTCTGGGTTTAAATTTGTTGGTGACTTTCCTGTTCAATAAAAAAGGACTTAAATGGCTTATAAAAAGGTTAAAAAAACTTATTGGGCATCAAACTGCTCTTACAAAACACCATCTTGATGAGTTAAGTGTAAATGAATCAGAAACACATGGATCATATTTCCTTAAAAAATGCATATGGATTCAAAAATAAGGGGAAGAGGACTTGGCAAAACATTTTTTTGTGTGGTGGCTGAACCCAAAACATTTGAAAGATATTTTGAGACATTCAAGGAATCCAAAATAAAACTAAACCTGTCCAGTCGTATAAAAAACAGAAAGTTCCTCTATGTAATGTGCATTTATCTGTATGGGTCAATCAATACTCACTGAGCCTTCCCCTTTGTCAGAGGACTATGGGAGAAGCCAGTTTCTGCCTCTAAGCAACTTTGAATTTAAGCAGAAACAAATACACAAAAGTAATAGAAACCAATTAAAAAAGTCTCAGGGTTAAAAAAAATATATAACCTACATCATACAGAAACTATATATTGAGAAATATATAAATACTTAAGGGTCCTAGGGGAGGTAGGATTCATTCCATTCTAATCATCATGCCCTCAGCCCTTTTGATTAAAGCTATGTAGAATTGTAGAATCTTACTTAAATGCTTTCTTAATAAGTGTTTTTATGTCTTTTTTAGTGTGTGTCCCAGCCTTCTTTCCTCCACCCTCTAGATTTGTGAGCGCTCAACAAATCTTGCTGACTGGTTTCCTGGAGGATGGGAGTGTTGAGCAGTTTTGAAATAGGAGAGAGATGCTGTCTGGCAGAGAGGAGTGAGGCTATGATTCTGGGTTGGGGTAATGGCACATGTGACAGTTCAGAGGCTCCAGAGGGTGAGTCATATGTGGGGGGTGACCCACTGGCTTGCTTGCAGCAATGTGTTCGAGCCAGGGTGGAGTGGGAGGTGAGGGCAGTTAGGTGTGGGGAGTCCTAATATACTACATGTGAAGTCAACTGGAGGACAGAGGAGTGTGATAAGGGAAAGCACAATTCTTATTCCTTTTTTTTTTTTCTTTTTGCCGTTATAGGATAAAGTGCTAAGGATAGGACATGTACGAGTCATTAATTCCTTTATTTCTTATCAGTGTCTTAAAAAGCTGAAAAATAGCCAAAGAAAAAAATAAGTTGACTATGTATGAATTGCTAGGATCCTGTAGGTCATAAATTTTAAGAGGAACTTAGTAGGATTATGAAATGTATTACTGAGTCCTAAAATGTTTGTGGGAAAGTGTAAAACATTAATGATTTAGAATCTTTGAAGCTGCCTTCTAGCTGTTTAATGTGGATCTTATCTTTTCCACAATATTAGAAAGTTATTTAGGACAGGGAGAGTGTCACATATTTCTTATATATTTTCTGCTGGCTAGCATAATACTGGGAACACACCAAGCACTCAATAAATGCTTACTCAAGTGAAATTAAGTCAAAAGGTGCTGAGGCCCTGTGATGACGAGGGTTTGATGAAAGGTGAAGTCTGAAGGGAAAAAAAAAGTAGGAATGTCCTAACAGCATCTCTGCTCTGAGCCTGTCTGTTCACGATTAATACAGAGGAATCAAAAGCCCTTACCATCCTTCATCATCCTCTACTTCTGCTTCAGAAACATCATTCTCAGGAGTTTCAGCAATTGCTTGAGTGAGTTTAGATTTAAACTGGTTCAGCAGTGCCAGGGTCTGGAATAACAATTGTATTGCTAAGTTTTCTGATAAAGATAAATAGGACTTTACGAGAGACACTGAAGTTTGGTAGAAAATAAAATGTGAAACACTAACACATAAAGCACTTAAATAAATTTTTAATTTTGAAGGAAAATATAACAAAATTCCAACAGTGACTGATATTCACAAACTTTGACAATGCCCTGTTTGCATTTACACTGACATTTTCTCTCAGACATATGTGACCGTTTCCTGATATGGGGAACATAAATTTGCTTATATAAAAGATGCTTAAACATTAAAATGCATGCTTATTAGTGGCTAATTTTTAATGTCCATCAGAAAAGGAGGTACTTCACTAAAATATGCTGCTAAAACACCAATAACAAATACTATTTGTCATTGAACAAATTTCCAAAAATGTAAAAAGTTCATTTTTAAGGAAGATAGAATGGATGAACACAGTAACTCTTGGAAGATGGATAAATGGAAGTGATATTTTTAGAAGCTATTTGTATTTATCACAAACTTTAAATAATTCCCTTTGATTCAATCACTTCAATCCTGAGAATACATGAAGAAAAATAATATGAAACACAGAAAATGGCTTATGCAAAAGATGTACACTGCAGCAGTATTCATACAAGTAGAAGAGTGGGAACATGTTAAAATGTCTGTCAGTAATGAACTAGATAAATTTGCTAAAAAGCAGTGACTATGCTATTACACTATTATTAAAAATTATATTCATGAAGCATTACATTCTATTGTTAAGTAAAAGAAATGGTACATAAATATCATGTTTCAGGTTTTAAAAAAAGGGACATATCTCTGATTCTTGTTTGTCTTCCATGTCCTTTGTGGGTAACAAACAACAAGTGCCTACAATTTTGTAATCACATTGCACCCTGGCTATAACTCAACAGATGACTCCAGAATTTGAGCAGAGAATAAAAGTCGGCAAATTTTTTTTTATCCTACAGCTTAAAAAAGTATGTAATTGTGAAATGGGGTGAAGTACTACCTGTCTAAAAAGCTGTATATCTAATTAAGATCCTGACATATTGAATTCAGTACTAAAATATTCATATTTCAGAAGGAAAAAGGTATTATAATAATAGTTCAGTATGCAAATAACAAATATAAAGAGTCACAATAAATTGCTAGGCTCCATAATTTATCTAGGAAATACCATCGAGACCATGGTTCATGAAAAAATTAAGTAGATTTTGGTGGTCCAGAACTTAAGCTCAGTCAAGACAGGTGGTGCAAGGAGCAAAAAACAAAACAAAGGCAGTTATTGCTAAAAATGATAGTGAAAGTGCCTTATATATGCTTTGTAAGTTCTGTAAAATTTAATGCCCACATGGACAACAGATGAAAATATGGCCATAGCTGTTGAATGAGAGGAGTTTGGGGGAAGCACTGTAAATTCCTACAGAATATCCTCAGAGGGATTCTGAGGGCTGCCTATAGTGCATTAGGGTTTAGATATTTGATCTGTTTCCAGAGCAGTAATTAAAAGCCTAAGCTCTTCAAACAGTTTTAACAGATAAAGAAGGCATCCCTTGTTTTGTAACCTCACTAATTAAAAAAGACTATTGTGCTTACAAACTTTTATTGTATTTGCTTTATAATAAAAAAAGCTTAATTTAGAAATACTAGAAAACAAAGAGAAGCAAAACAAAAATATCTATTATCCCACCACTAGGAATAATAATTGTTGACATTTTGGTATATATCCTTCAAGGCTTTTGAGGTGTTTTTGTGTGTATGTGTATGAGCTTAGATTACATCTGATGTATATTATATAAGATATATCTCCATATGCATATTTCTATATCTATAGCTTAAAGTAAATCCCATCAATTTTTAAGGGTGGACTTTTGTACATTTGGAAATGTCTTTTCTGAAGGCATAAAGGAAAATGAAAACAAAGTAGATTTCTTAGTGGAATCAAATTTTAAAATTTCCTAGAAAATTACACGGGACCTGGGTCTTCTTCCTTGAGTTGAAAGTGGCAAGAGCCAATTAACCTGCTACTGGCATTTACTCAGAGAAGGGGGCCTCTAACAAACAGAAAACATCCTCTTGGCTTTTCTTAGCTTCTCCTGTATTCGAGATTGGATTTTCTCTAGCTGCATTCTAAAGGCAAGGGAAGACACGAGGCAGAGAAGCAAACATCACAAAAATAATGGGGCACAACACAGAGTAAAGAAGATAGGATTTGGGGGCTCCTGGGTGGCTCAGTTGGTTAAGCATTTGCTTTGGCTCAGGTCATGATCCTGGGGTCCTGGGAAGGAGCCCCACATCAGGCGGGGAGTCTGCTTCTCCCTCTGCCCCTCCCCTCACTCGCGGTCTCTCTCATGTCTGCTCTTTCTCTCTCAAGTAAAAAAAAAAAAAAAAAAGAAGATAGGATTTACATAGAGACATTTCTGTTTGGCATCTGCAGGGGAGTTAGCCTTCTAGTTTTTGCTGAAGGAATGAATGGCCAACTACTTAGAGCATGGCTCTTCAGCACTGTGAGAGCCTTCCTAGCAAGTGGAAACTGTTTTGAAGAGGCCCTGCCTTTGTAGACTTTGTGCATGCGTATCTACACAGAAGAGGCTCTTCAACTGGCCTCTGTACCTCTACTCCTGTCCTGGTTTCAGTATGTTCTCTATACTACAGCTAGGTTGGAGGGATCTTTCCAAACTGCAAATGAGATCATGTCACCTCCTTTTTTCAATGGCTCCCCATTGCTCTTAGGGTAAATATAATACATTTCTTAATATGGCTCAAAAATGCCTTGCATGAATTGGCTTCTGCTTACCTCTCCAGCCTCATCTTTCTCTTAGTTTATATTATTGTTATAGTTAATATCTTATAGTTTTTGCAAAGAGATGAAATATTTCTTATATACTCTTCCTTTTGTCTGGCCACCTATCTCCTGTTCAACCTTCAAAGTTCAACTGACCAATCATTTTTCAGGGGAGCCTTCCCAGATTCTTAGGCCATGATAGGTCTTACTGATACGTATTTATATAGTTCCCTATACTTAACCTGTCATAATGCTCACCTTCTTTTATTGGGATTACTTAACTGGCTCTTTTCCCCAGTAGCTCAGAGAGGACAGATATGTGTCCACCTTGTTTACCACCAAATACACTGATTAGTACATGGTTCTTAATAATTATTCGCTAGGAGGCAAAAAAGAAGAATGCTTAAGTAAGAGTGGTCCTTAGGGTAGCTATGGTAGTATACTGACTACAGTTGCTATTCAAAGGACTTTGTGATTCCATGAAAACAAGTTAATAATGTACTTTTTCTTAATTTCATTTAATGTGCCATTTCTTTTGAAAATTACTCAGATTAGTTCTTTATAATTTCTCCTATAGCTGACTTCTTATAGAACTTTCCCCATGATTATTTTCATGCTAAGTACTGATGGATGATCCTTTTTTACCAGTAACTAGGTGTCATTTATAATGCAGTCCCTGATTAACTTAGCCAAATAGACTTGTGCTTTTTAATTTACTTTTATTTTGCCTATTTTATTTATACACCTAAAATGGCATGTTCTCAAATAGATATGTATGGCAGCACCAAAAATAAAGGATTTTGGTCTTCCCTCTAGCTTTTCAACATGAATGGCTGCTGAGGAGATTTATTTCATTGAATGCTAAGTGTTACATGGTGTATAAAATTGACTTTCAAATTGTTGAACCATCTCTTTTTCTTCTTATTTCTAATAATCTTCTTTTATTAGTTCTTAAAGATTCAGAGATTATTTGAAATAAGCAGAGTCCTGTATGATTACTTACAGAAGTCAACTAGTGGACCAAATATCTTATTTATAGGCAGTGTACAATTTTGAGCAGATTGGCTAGTCAGCATGTGAGATGCTATGCTAGAAGAGATATCTTGATCATTTATAATCACCACTTTTCCATTTCACAATATTTATTTAGATACCTGGCTATCTGAGAATATGTGGCTTTACAAGGTTCCTATGTTTGAAATGGGAGTACAAGGTTGAAACCTGAAAGTTTTAGGCTTTGCCTACAATGGCTGGAAAGAACATGAATGGTCAAGGTTCCTGTCACCCCACTCTATACGAACATATCCTTTTTAATTTTTATTTTATTTTATTTTTTTAAAGATTTTATTTATTTATTCATAAGAGAAACAGAGAGAGAGAGAGAGAAGCAGGCTCCATGCAGGAGCCCGACATGGGACTTGATCCCAGGTCTCCAGGATCACGCCCCGGGCTGAAGGCAGGCATTAAACCACTGAGCCACCCAGGGATCCCTCCTTTTTCATTTTTAAAAGGTAATGTTTTCCTGATTTATAATCAAATTAGGCTTCATTAGAAACACTTGAAGACAATGAAAAGGCAGTGCATTACATATGGACTTAGGCTTGTCAAGTTACCTGGTCTTCCCGAGAAGTTCCTTTCTTCGCCTGTTGCTTCCTCAAAGCTTCATACTTTTGCTTTTCTCTTCTGTATTCTGCAACAGCACCATCAGGAGCAGTTTCTTCTTCTAAAGAATAATAGAATATTCTTAGAATAAATAGTAAAAAGGCTATATGGTTTCATATTAACATCTATGCTTATTACAGAAGAGTAGGTCAGATACTGGGATTGGTTTTCACCCATTTAAAAATCAAACCAATAAATGCCACCAGCTCCACAAATATTTCCTATGATAGACAGTGATGGATATTAATTTATGAGCCAATTTTATAAACATCTTTATTATATAATGTACTACTATAGTTTTTCTCACTTGTTTGACTATAAAATTACCTATCACACTTTAAATTTTTCATTTTCATTTCCCAGCAGTATACTCTGAATAATTTCCTTAGTTTTATATTTCAGTTCATTAATTCCTTGTTTAATTGTATCTAATCAGTTTTTAAGTCCTGACCAGGTGGACAGTTTTTCTAGTCCCCATTTCTCTTGAGCCATGGCCACATCTCTGTCCAAGTCTGAGATTAAAACTCCAGCTTCTAGCAAGTAGAGCCTACATCTGGTTCCAGTATTCCCTCGGGCAATTATAATATCCGTTTGCCCAAATAATGCTCTGGTTATGCCTGCTCTTCGTTTCTGTACCTAGGTCTTTTTTTCCTTACTTTCTGTCTCTATTTCTCTCTCTCAAGCTTAGCTAAGTATTTAAATTGGGCTGGATCATATTTTATCCAGCATTTCTATATATTTGTAGGAGAAGGAAGTTCTGTGCTAACTCAGTTCATGTTGCCAGAACAGGAAGTAGCACATTCATTTCTCATATGCTTGAATCCCCTTGAATAAACAAAAATTGAATAAGTGACTGGATGATTTTAGTGACATAAAACTGGCTAATAAAATACACAAGGAGTTTGAAAAATTTAGTTTCTCTAAGTACAGGCTGTTCTTTTACTTTTATTATAAATCTCAATATATAGTGGATGATAATTCATAAATAATAATGATGTAGTCTGATGACTGTCATTAACTGAAATTCCTACAAAGCATGTCAAATGAATAGGGATGAAGTATGGTGGGAAAAAAAGAACATTTACTAAAGCCTATATGTTGGCACCATGCTTAAGTGCTTTGATTATCTATGAAGGATCCATATACCAAAAAAGGAAACAGAAATTAGAATATGATAAAGCTGCGATTTGAGCCTAGGTCTGTATGGTACAAAAGGCCCACACACCTGTGCCCTACTGACTTCAATTAAAGCTTTAATCAGAAAATAAGATTTTTACCTAGTGTCTCTCATATGGTGGGCATTCTGAGAAATGCTAGGAAAGACATTTAAAACATAAATGATACCAGCTTTTCATTCTATAATGTAATCTACAGGGTGAAATTAACCTAAGATAGGTGAAAAGAGTTAAGAAATCAGGGCTTTGACTTTAAATATCAAATTGCTGATTCCTTAGAGGGCCTAAAGCTTACCTGTGTTATACTGTTAGAATAAAGTATCTTAGCTATCTTGGAGATAAAACTAGGTAATATATGTGAAAAGGTCTGAGGAAAAGAATGGTCAACATCACTATAATCAGTTTACTACTGGAGTATCAGTTCATGAGAGCACCAGAGCTAGAAGTTACTTTGAGGATCTTCTAATCTAATCTACCTTCTCAGTTTATAAGCGAGTGTTTAGGTAAGTCAAGTTACTTAGCCAGTCTCCCAGGGGGATCTCCAGCAGAGCCTGGGCTAAAACTAGTGTTCTGACTCATAGTTTAGGTGACAATCTAAGTTAAGTACTGTACTTCTGTCCCTGCATGTTATAAAGAATGCCTTTAACCCCTCCTCTAAGACCTAGTTGGAAACTTAACCCTTGCTTCACTTCAACTCTTTATCTCAAAACGTTTTTGTTCTAAACATGAAGGGATGATGACTACTCAACTGTGGTTACTTAGCTCATGAACCAATGGTATCCAACTACAAATCTCATCTTTTAGATTAAGGGGTTATTCCCTCCACTGTCTCAGGACCAGAGTTCAGGGAGCTTAACAGCTCTAAGTAGCTGTTACATTCATTTTTTTTTTTCTAAAAAAGCTTATCAAATAATCATTATGTATCAGAAACTGTTAGAGCTACTTATAAATTATTTTGAATATACCCAGTATTTCAAGGAGATTTTTGAAAAATTCCTGTAATAAACAAAAACTTTTATCCAAATAAAAGTAATATATTACTGCTAATAGTAAACAGCATTTGAAAACAAAAGGGACAGACTTCAATGAATATAAAAAATATCAAAGCTGCTGATACCTAGTTGTATCTTTTTTCTTTTTCTTTTTAGATTTTATTTATTAGAGAGACAGCAAGCATAAGTAGGGGGCAAAGGGGGAGAGAGAGAAGCACGTTCCCTGCTGAGCAGGGAGCCGGACATGGAACTCAATCCCAGGACCCTGGGATCACAACCTGAGCCAAAGGCAGATGCCCAACTGGCTAAGTCACCCAGGCACCCCAGTCTAGTTGTTTCTTATCATACTTTTTGGAAGCTAAACTATGTATTTTCTTTTTAAATCAAATTTTGTATATACCAGTTCTTAATTCTAGGAAACGTACCAGACTTGAAAGTAGATAACCATGATAGCTAATACTTTAAGTACTCAAAAAAAAAAAATACTTTAAGTACTCATTATATTCCAGATACCAGTACCTGAGTTACTTGATTAATCCTGATAAACAAACCTATGGGGGAAGGCATAGTATTAGCCCTATTTTGCTGATACGGAAACTATAGTAGTAAGAGGTTACATAACTTATTATTAAGGGACTATAAACATGAGAATATAGACCCATGTAGTCTGACTGTAAATGACAAATTCTTAACCAGCTTGGTTACTTCTTCATGTTTGACACACAAGAAAACTTAGAAAATATTCCAATTTGACATAAAAAGGCATCAGGTAACCAGTTGGATGTGTCTGATGAAATAAAATCCTGCCAAAAAAAGGCTCTAAATTCCTCCAAGACCATAATAAATGGGAAATACAGTCTGCCAAACAGTGGATTTATGTAAATAATTTCCACCTAGGAAGACTCCTTTATAACTTTTTTCTGATAATCCTTAATTAGTCATATGCCCCCCCCCCATTTGAACCTTTAGACAGTTTTAACCACCTGTCTGTATTTGCCCCCTAGGCTATAAACACATACGGCAGGGATTATGCCCTGTTTGTGGCCTAGCATATGCCTTGCATATAGTATATGCTCAATAAATAGTAGCTGAATGGACAGATGAACAATTTGATCATTTTTAGATCTTTAATTAGAACAATGTTTATTTATTTATTTATTTTTTTAATTTTTATTTATTTATGATAGTCACACACACACAGAGAGAGAGAGAGGCAGAGACATAGGCAGAGGGAGAAGCAGGCTCCATGCACCGGGAGCCCGACGTGGGATTCGATCCTGGGCCTCCAGGATTGCACCCTGGGCCAAAGGCAGGCGCTAAACCGCTGCGTCACCCAGGGATCCCTAGAACAATGTTTATAGTTACCTTATTGCTCTTGCTGGATGGAAAGACTCCCTGAGAGACTTGTATGGGCTTAGGGCCCTTAGCATACAAATACTTTTACAATAGATAGTTGTTTAATTGAGTTATAGATAAATAATTTCTGACACGTATTAAATAGAGGTAAGAGGAACAGAAGTCAACTTTAAGGCAGTTTCCTCTGATTACCTGACCACTAAACTTTTTGGGTAGAATCTCTGTAAGAGTTATATCCATTCATTGAGGTTTTACCATCTCCTTGAGGAGCTACTGGGGATATACTATGTATCTTTCCCCTAGTCAGAATGCCTATTGTTTTGTTTGTTTTATTAGGAAAATCCATTATGGAAATGACAATGGGAATATATTCTTTGACATTAAGATGAGAGGTTATGTATAATATACTTTTTATTATCATTTCTTATAATTATAATCCATAGTGTTTACTGAATGACAAGAGGTGAAATTTGTACTAAGTTTGTTTTAAAGATAATTGCAAGTTGCTTAAATGACGTCTTTAAAAAGTGAATTCCTAGAAACCTGGTCTCTTTATCCAATGAAACTGCCAAAATGAAAATTATTCACAATCAAGAAATTATTTACTAGAGGTGTCTAAATGCACATTTACAAAGTCTACACAGAAGCTTAGGGGAATACTAGGCTGAAAGTTTAATTTCTTTCTGTTCTGTGAACTAAAATAAGAAATCTATGATTTATTCATTTTATCACTTTATTTTCAGCATATTTTTTGTTACAAATTGAACAATACTGGCTCCATCTGGTGGTCAGAATAAGCCTATAGTTCCAGAGTTCCGTGAAGATATGTCAAAAGTCGTTAAATAATTCAGGGGCTACCTGAATTGAACACTGAACACTGAAATATGCTTTAACGCTGAACAGTGATTAAATGCAATTCAGTCTACATTTTCTTTTTCTTTCCATTTTCATCCTAGCTTCATTGCTTCATGTTATTTTACACTTAAAGTAATCCTCAAAATAAAGTAAGAATATTTTCCTGTGTTTTTCTGTTAGCTGATTTGAGAAATGTGAAGGTAACAAGTTATAATACAATTAAATTAATCCAGACTTTCAGACTGTATTCTATTTTGGAACATAAACACAAAAATACTGATTTTCACTGTGTATTGTAAATTTGACTATGATATGCTTTGGTGATGGTCAGCTTTTGTTGAATTTAATGGGAGTTCTTTATGCTTCTTAGATTTTGATGTCTGAGTCCTTCCCTACCTACATTAGGGAAGTTGTCAGCTATAATTTGTTCAAATAAACCTTCTGCCTTTTCCTCTATCATCTTCTGGGATTCCTATGATATAAATGTTACTGAGTTTTAATAAGTCAATTGAGTTTCCTAAGTCTACCTTCATGATTCATTACTTTTCTTTCCCTCTTCTTTATCAGTTTCATTATTTTCCATTGGCTTCTCTGCTTTGTCCATCCTTATTTATATGGTCTCCATTTGGGCTTGCATCTTAGCTACAACATTTTGGATTTTGGCCTTACTAGATTTTAGTTCT